CTCTCTCTCTCTCTCTCTCTCTCTCTCTCTCTCTCTCTCTCTCTCCCCCCTCTCTCACTCTCTCTTTAAAAAAAAAATGAAAATGAGCTGTCCACACCCTTTAGGAAACTCTTCTCCCCCCAAGGTTCCCCCCCACATAGCTGTCACCTCACCCACCTCCTCCCACTCCACCCCACTGTCCTCTTCCCTTCTGTTTTCTCTGTGAAGTTCCTAAACACATATCAGACCAGATTCCCTTACTTAAGACCCCTCAGTGAGGACTGGAGGTGTAGTTCAGTGGCAAAGCACTTGCCTAGCACACATGAGGCCCTGGGCTCCATGCCCAGCCCTGCCAAAAACAAAGTAACCCTCAGAAATGATTCAACCCTGAACTCAGGATAGATTAAAGAAATTTGCATGGCGCTCAAGGTCCTCCATATCGGAACCTATCTACCCCAGCAGGAGCATCCCACACACCCTCCACTCTACCACAATGAAGCCTTTGATGCTCCCAAACACACCCTAGTTTCTCCAGATTCTGAACCTTTGTTTGCTCCAACTATTCAATTTGTCTGGGACACCATTCCCCAGCCCAGCCCCAGTCCTCTTCTAATTCTTCGGTGGCCCTCTCCTAATCCCCCTCCATGACACACCTCCACCTCAAAGCAGTCCCTGTCTTCCTGCTTCCCCTCCCTCCCCTCCTTCCTCTGATTCTTCCCCAAATTCAGGGCCCTTATCACAGCGAGCTCTCGCTATTGATTTGACTAGTCTTCTTCCCACTCTAGACCATGACTTCAAGGACTGCAAACTAGTTATTTCCCCCTTCCGACCATCTAGCATAGCACCTGACATTTATTGTAGGTGATTGATGGGCTGAATAAAGGCACAAATTCTCATATTTCCTCAAGTCTTGGTCTCCATCAATTCTAAAAATGCAATATCAATTTAAAGAGCCGCAGCACATTAACTGTAGATCTCAATGACAAGATGTGTGCCAACTGCAAATAGATTAAAGTGTGAAAAAATGTGTCTCTTGGGATCAAGGACATATTGAAATCACAGCTAGACAGTAATCGCATACAAATTAAGTTGGGCGGCAGGGAAGGAGACAGCGAAAAGAGCAATCTGACAGACTGGGCAAGACCCAGAAGTCATCACTAAGGCAGAAGAGCTGCAGACAGGTTTCTGCTCTCGCGTGGGCACCACACCCTGCATCTTCCTCCAGGACAAGACAAAATGGAGGGTCCCTACCAGCATGACAACTGCTGTCAAAATGAGGCACTTGCCTCTACCATCTCTGCAAGGCAGCTACACCCAGTGCCTTGACCCTGGAACCACACGTCCAGCCCCTGCTTGTTTCATGGCATAGTCGTCACCCACAGCCATGGCTGTTCACCAAGATCAGTATCTTGGGTTGGGACAGCACTACTTTCTCAGGGGCCTTAAAGGTGGAAAGAAAAGAAATCCATACCGACCAGGGCTTGGATCCCAGTCCAGCCAGTTGGGAACTGGGCATCTTACTTAGCTCTCTGAGCCCTGTCTACACAATGGAGTGACAATGTCCAACCTGGAGGATCAGGGGAGGCAGAGCAGTGCTTGTCGTGTGGTAAAGGACAGAGGTGGAGTGGCTATCACCATAGTTGCTCTTGGTTGTGTCAGAAACACCTGGCAAGCCGTCTCTTCGCAGGCCAGTGCTCCACTAGCAATCTCCACAGGCTTGGGTGGGAAATGCAGCAGGAAACTTGGAGCTGACCCTCCCTCAGATTCCATCAGGGGACATTTCCTAGAGATGACGCTTCACCAAGAGCAGCATTTGAATGGTGACTGGTTGGCTGCTTTCTCCTCCTTGGCTAGTAATCACCCCTGGGGGACTCTGTCCTGGGATTGGGTGGCCATACTGACTCATGCAGGATCCCCTTGGCTCTCAGGGTCAAGGTGATTCTCTCTGTATGAGGCCTGCACAATCCAAGTCAGCACCCCAGGCCGTGCCTCTGGGCTGGTGCTGCACTGCTAGAACCTGGCACTGTGGTCAAGGAGGCTGCAGAGAGCTGGCTGATTGGAGAGCCCCCTCCACCAAGGCATGCACAAAGTCACAACTAAATGCATGAGTCAAGTGCCAAGCCCAAAGCTTTGTTCCAGGGGATATAATCTGACCTCTGGGCTCAGTGGGTCCCAAGGGCCACATGCACAGTGAGTGTGCCCATTGTATCCCTGGGGGCACCAGGGCACTGCCTCCCAGCCCCCAGCCAGGCCCAAAAGCCTAAACACAGCTCCTTTCTCCCCAGGGTCCTTGGCATTTCCACCCATACACACTCTAAAAAACTGGACTACAAAATCCTCAGACTGGGAGCTCCTTCCCAATCTTATGAAACTGAAACTAAATGGGGAATTGTGCCTGGGGTACACAGCAGCCCGCACACCTGCCCCGTGTGTATTATAGCGGGAGGCAGTAGATGGAAGTAAAAGAAGGCACAGAGACCCCCAGAAGGATGTCAGACTGTGGGAACCACAGAGGTGGCCAAGCAGAATCTCTTTGTCGTAGGGGCCTGAAGAGAATCAGCCCATGATTCTAAATTGAGAAGTAGTTTTTCAGTTGCCTTGGGGAGTTTTCAAGATGTCTTCTTGCAGAAAAAAGAAATGGCATTAAGACAGACTACAGCCTGGAAAGCTTCTTCATTAGACTAAGGCTCAAACTGTCTGCATTTATTTTAAAAGGGAAGATGATGGCAATAGTACCTATCTCCATTGTTGGGAGAATTAAATTAAGTAATGTAAATAAAATACTTAGCTCAGAGAGTAAGTGCCCAGTTCACCTTAACTATTTATTTTTATTATCATCATGTTATTTTTAAAGAAAACTATCTGTACCTTCAAAGAGGCCAGCGCCAGATTATCTCATGAGGACAAAAGAACATCCCATTCTGACCAGCCTGAGGGGAAAGAGCAATCTGAAATCAGCAAAATGTTTGAAAAAAGTTTGAGAGTGGGAAGATATAGAAACAGTTCTATTCCTTTCACAGAAGTAAAGCAATCAGGGTATACATTCTATAGAATTGATGGTTTATACAGACAACCAAATGTGAATTCTGCCTGGTCAATCTTCCTCCCTTGCAAACTTATTCTTTTAAATTAATAAGTAATAGCCTTTGTTTCCCTGCAAGCCTCAAATTGATCAACTCTCAGCTTTAATCTATAGGAGAAGCTTGGGCCTGAGGAACTAAACAGGCAGTTGGCTGTTTCTAATATCTTGCTGTGCAGTTCTCACAACTCAGCATTGTTCCCACTCCAAAGGTACAGGCACAAACCAGGGAACTGGCTCTCTACCATGCTGAAGCCTTCTAGTAGGCTGAAGTGTCAACTGAGGGTACTTCCTTTAGAGACAAAAAGTGTGCACACCTCAACCAAAAGGAGTTTTTTGTTTGTTTGGTTTTTTTTTTTTTGCTCTCTGCTTGTACTGTAATTATCCTGTGGGATGTAACAGGTGTTCCAACGGGTACATTAAAACTGTGTGTCCTTAGATAAGTAAGTTTCATCTCTGACTCACATACATTCATATTATTGGCAAGAAGCCCTTTACATAAACAGCTCAGTGGCATATTGCAGTTTAACCTCCATCCAAGATTAAGACAAATCTGCAATCACTTTAAGCCTGCTAATCTTCAACATTAGCCCAACTGCTGGCCACCTGGGAGAATGTGGAAGGCCAGCACTGCCAACAAAGGCAGTGGAAAGGGTCCTAGAAAACACCAATTCACAGGAGCTGAGGATAGGAAAGCAAGGAGAAACTCAGAGGGGTAGGTAGATTATGTAGATAGGCCACCATTGCCCATAGGTGCCATGCCCAAAATGGAAAATTCCACCTTTTACTTTAATAATGGCTTTTCAGTCCCCATCCGTGATCTCTGCATTACCTCATTTAGGCCTCAAAGTCAACCCATGTGCAAGTCCTTATAGGAGACGCCTGGACAGAGCTGTTCTTCAAGTGTCATCATT